TTAATTTTAGGTTGTACACAGTTAGGGTTAGTTTATCAGCCTAGTAGAAGTGTCTCTAGGATGTTTGGCCGTTTTGTTTTTGAACACTAACTAATTGTACTAAACTTTTGAAAATGATTAATGGAAAGTACCACAGTTGTTCATTTTATATTGCCCAAGTCCATTTCTTCAATTACAATGTGATTTTTTGCATTTTGAATGTTTGATTATTTACTTGTATGAATGGGATTATTGTTGTTGTATACCTTGCGATTTGAAAATAAAGTTTGCTAGGAACTAGCAAAACTCAAGTTGGGGGGTGTGATTAGCACAAAATATTGCATATTTTGTATGCCGTTTATACCCTTTTATACTTGCTTTTGTTGTGCAATTGGAGAGAAATGTGACTAATCAAACAATTAATGATGTTAATGTGTGATTGTAGGTAAAAAGTTGATTATGACTTGAGTTAAGCCCCCATCGTAGTGCTTAAAGTCAATGGAGATGAGGAGGTGGCTTAAAGGGAGGCTTGGAAGGTGAAGAAATCAAGAAAAAGGCAAATCTAGTGAAAACCTTCCAATGATTGGTTATAAACCTTCCGGAAGGTTTGCATATAGAATTGCCTCTACCCGTGCCAAAACCTTCTGGAAGGTTTTGCCTACTGTAATAAACCTTCTAGAAGGTTTGCATCGACCTTCCAAAAAGTTTGAGACACTGAATTGTTTTCTCTCCTATTCCTGCCAAAACCTTCTGAAGGTTTTGCGTCGACCTTCCAAAAGGTTTTTCCCATAAATGTCAGACAACCTACAACTCAAGCTCTGCCACTTGGGGGTTCTACCTATGATTCTACCACTTATCCCCTGGCATCTCTTACACACATACATGCCTCCCTACACTTAAGGTTGGACTTTGGAGGTCTGAGCATTTATGAGGAAGAAGGAAAAGAAGGAATCCTGGAGAGTTGCTGGCTAGGCTTGTCCTACCCTGTTCAAGCCATCACCTCAGCGCTCCATTGATGGGAAGCCACTCACACAAGCTATAAGACCTCCATGGACGAAAATGAAGAGGACTCTTGACATTTTTACAACATTATTCAGCATTATAGAGAGAGAAGCTCAAGGAAGAAGGTAATTTTAGAGAGAGAAGTTGTAATTTTTTTCATTTCTTTTACCCATTTCACTTGTTGTAAGCTAGAATACTCTTGTAATTTTCATTCAATGCACTTTAATCTTATTTATTTCAAGTGTAAATTTCAAGTTTAGTTACACATTCTAAATTCTACCATGCTTGTTTTTAAGTTTTTCATTTCAAACTTTTCAAATGGGTATTAAATGCACTTCTTTGTAGTTTAACTTTTCTTGCATTAAAACAAGTTTCAATCTTCATCTCTTCATAATGTCTCTTCATCTTATGTATGTCCTTGCATTAAATATAAGTAACTAAGCTTTTTGTTGGCTAATCCAAGAGAGAATTCCTCTTGGGTATGCTAAATCAACTCTTTTTCATTCTTCCTTGTAGTGTAGGTGGTTTGGTTTGACTAGGTTGAGTGCGGACGTAGTTGTGATACACCGTATACTTGTCACGGGGTATGCTTGAGCCTACACCACATTAGTCCCTCACTTCCTATAAATCAATTGAACACCTAGGCACCATTGGAAGAATGTTGTGACATTCTCATTGGAATGACCTCTTCAGATTAGCCAACCCTCTTTCCATTGCATTTTCTATCACAAACTTCACTCACCAAAACACAAACTCACAAGATTTTTACACTTTTCCATTTTTACAAAATCACCTTCACATGATTCAACCTTCCTTCCTTGAGGAGACGACTCTGGAATACCCATTTCAAGTAAAACACAACACTCGAAAGTCTCTCTTTGCTTGGAGAGCACTTTTGCACACACACGCACATTTTGTTCATCCACACACATTTTTTCCATTTCTTGCATGATATCCAAGGGAGAGTGACACTCACCTGTACACATAAGTCATATACACATTATCAGAATCATGTTCGGAGATTAGGGTGAACGTGATCAAGCATTAGTACACATATTTGGTGGCCATTTCAGGACTCGGTTATCTTGCACTAAGAAAAGAACTTGTTTGAGTGGCGTGTTGAGTGGTGTGTATTTACGAGCCAACTAGCCTCGAGTCCAGGGACCCAGGTGATCCCCTAGCATTCACCCTCTCCACTCAATTCTTCTTCGGGCTACTAGCTCTATCATTTCTCCTTGTTTGATCGTGCTTCTTTCTATCATGTTGTCTATCTTCTTAGCCTCTATGTGCTAGGAATGTATCCTCTATGTTCATGACTCTATGCTCTTGAGAGTAGCTCTTTCATGCTCAAAGGCTAGTCCTTTGACAATAAGAAGAGGGACTAGGAGGGTTGGTGTCCCCCATGAAGGCAATTAGTGCCACCTTGTCTTCTATGTTGTCGGTCTAAAGGGACTCCATGGTGAATCTGCTGACAAACCTTATGAGTGTCTCATTCCAATGAAATGGGAGATGAAAGAAGTACTGAGCTCTGCAAAAGAGCTAATTGAATTGGGTTTCAACTTATTGAACCAATGTCTGGCAGTTCCCTGAGGGTAGTTGCAAAAACCCTACTCATAATCTAATTAGGATGTTGTGAAGCATCATAAGGAACTTGTAAGTCTCTAGATGATCAAGTGGATCCCTAAGTCCATCAAAACTCTCGATCACCGGTATCTTGAATCTTAATGGTGACTCCGTGTGTTGGACTAAGACCTCCACTACTTCTAGAACCCATGCATTTACAAAGTAGATGACATTAACAAGTTTATTTTTGACAACCTGGAACTTTCACTCCCATTGATCATTTACTTGGGAGCAAGATACCTCATTTTGGCTTTGTACCTCATTCCCCTGGTTCTCATCTCGATGCTCCTAGTTCTAAGATAAGTTTCATTCTTGGAGTTGTCGAGTAGCAAGTAACAATAGGATTTTTCAATTCTATTGAACCAATTCCCCCACAATCTTTTCTAGCTACTCCACCCTTGAAGTCTCCTTTCTGGTGGGGCTAGGTTTCACTGATCAGCTGGGTGTGACCCAGGTCATTCATTAGCACGTGTTTGGTCTCTAGTTGGATCCTTTGACCTTGTGATGGCCATTGATTATGGATAACAGATGGAAAATTTATTGTTTCCCACAAATGGCGCTAACTGATGATGCCATAAATTGCTCACCGAACGCCAGGCACGCAATTGATCGGAATTGTAGTTTGACCAACCAAAGGATGCACTTGCAAAGGCAAATCGAAGACCGAATGGACTCTAGTGATCAACCCTCTAATGTTAAAGTCATAAAAGAATTTGGGAAGGAGAGTATTCAACTGTGATTAGAAGTGTGTCCCTGGATCATCTCTAGGTTTCTCTTTTTATAGTTATTTGATTAGGCTATTGGAGGATCCTTACCTTTGATTTGAATTAAGGTAATATCAATGGTGTAGTGGAGGTGGACTTTTTACTGGAGTAGGAGTCTCAGCTAAATTAAATTAGTCAAGGTCGTGAGGAGATAGGACTCTACTGGGCTAGGAATGTGCGAACTAGAAGGCTGGCGAGCTAGAGCTCCTCCAACTTACCGAGCTCTCTGAGGTGGTGCCCAAATACCCGTTATTTGCATGTATTTGAGGTTTATTCTATGTGGGTAAGTCTAATATGGTCCAGTTCTAGCGACGTTGTCCAATATCAAAATATATATATATATAGCACAAAAGTGATGTGAGCAATCTTATTATACTGTTGGGTTGGCAGAAAAAAACCGCAAGAGACTAGTGCTAAAAAAAGAAGCCTTATGCTCATCTTCATTTTTTTCTGTTGTCTTGGAGCTTTCAAAGGGAATCTAAACCCAAGTAGTTGAATGAAGCCATAAACTCATCTTTAGTTGTTTTTATTTTTTTGGAGCTGTCAAAGGGAATCTAAGGGTTGAACAAAGCCATAAACTCATCTTCATTTGTTTTTTTTTGTTTGGAGCTTTCAAAGGGAATCTAAACCCTAGTAGTTAGGCCAACACATTAGTGCTTGGGTAGGAAAGTACCTTGTTGCCTTTGGAGGCTTACAGGAAAAAAGTCTTTGGGAAATTTGTCGATCCTTTAATAAAATTGATAATACAAAACATAAAGAACATTGAACTTGATGGTACTTGAAATTAAGTGGACCGAGTTGCAAAACAGACTTGGGTGAAGTCCAACGAGTGTGTGGGTGTCTAGGTGAATGTGAGTGTGGAGGTGTATGCTATATGTATTCTACAAGAGAAAGACAAAAACATGAATGGTTCAACTTAGCCAAAAGACTAAGGTTACAACTATTGTGACAGAGACTCTTACTCTTTGGGGATTATGTTGCTTGGGGAAGATTGTTATTATAGGGTGTTTGGCTTAAAGCCTTTACAAGACATTGCTTAGGTTTTACTTGATGGCTTACAAAATGACTCTCTCGTGCGCTATAGCCCCGTTGGCTATTTATACAACTAGTAGTTAGGGTTTTATGTTTGTCCTTTTTTGTGTGATTTTGTGGTCCCTTTATGTTTGTCTTTGATTCGTCTCCACTACCTGTGACTTGTTCATTTGAGCTGTCAGGTAATGTCCTCTGTCCACGCGTCACGCTACAACTTTTGCAGATTGGACCTGTGCCGAGCTCTTGAGCTCCAAGCATGTTATCGTGTCAAGCTTGTTACTCTAAGTTTCCCTACAACCTGTCTGCAGCCCAAGTCGTGCTCAAGAGAGTTCGTCTGGACGAGCTGCTTGGGCCACTTCCTATAAGCTCAAAGGGTCTTGAGCTCTAAAGGAGTCCAAACTTAAACCAATGATTATCAGAACTAAAGCGAATGCAAAATAGAAATTGTTCAAAGCTAGTATTTAATATTATCCCCCAAGGAGCTATGGTGTTTACAGACTTCGTGAATGTATGTCACCCAAGATACAATAATCGACTTACACATAGAAGCAGCATTGAAATCTATGCTGGCATAAGAAAACTGGTGTTTGTACTTTCTCTAATGTAATGGAGTCCTGAAAAACGAATTCCAACAGTATTTTGTTCTATACTTCCCATACAGTGCCAAAGCAAGTATTCTACCAAATGAAAAGTGATTAACAGTCGCAACCTAATTCAACAGCTTAGTCGGCCTAGTATTGTTGAATAATGCACAGACATTATCTGCCTCAGAAACAGCAATTGCCCAGATACGAGTTTCAGGCGACACCAAAAAACTAGGGCTTCATAAAACATACAACTGCATCATAAATCAGTAATCAAACTTCAAGCAGGTCCTTTCTTTCTAATCTGAACAGCCGAGCAATTCACCATTATGAATTTTCAGGTCTACTCATGAAAAGATATGTAGTACATACTGCCGGCAATATCCAAGTTCAAACTTCTAAGATCAATGTCGGCTTTGTTCCAAGAAATTAAAAAATCTGTATACAAAAGCACCGGTTTAGTCCAACTTCTACCAGCCATGAGTACATTGCCCATGTCTCCTATTTTATTTTATGTTCCTTTTGTCAAATTAGCATAGATGCATCCAGTCAATCTAACCTCAGATTTATTGTCATCATGTAAATATTACCAGGTGTGAGACATGAGATTGATGCCTTCAAAATGCAACTTTTCCAAGTGCATGTACGTGAACACTGAGCAGCAAATCAACCGGCTCTTAAGTGATGCATGCATCATCCTTCTATAACGACAACATATGTTTATGAAGAAGGATGAGTTCAAAGTTTCTGGAGAATCATCCTTCTATAACGACAACATATGTTTATGAAGAAGGATGAGTTCAAAGTTTCTGGAGAATCATCCTTCTATAACAACAACATATGTTTATGAAGAAGGATGAGTTCAAAGTTTCTGGAGAACAATGATGGAAAAAAAATTGCCCAAATATTTTACCTTGCAACGGTATCAAGAAAGAAAATTCTACATGTTATTTAACTAGTGTCATTTTCCTTCTTCATTGGATCAGAGCTCACAATGGGAAGATTCCTTCTGTACTGAGGAGATGTCAACCTCCTCTCTAATGGTGTTTTCCTCTTGCTCACCACAAACCTGTTCACTCCCTTCCGCATTGGCATTATTGAGGGGAAGTCTTCGTCAGGTATCTGGCTCAGCTCAGAAATGTCCTTGATCTGGGCAACACGTCGAAACCACCTTTCTGCCTTGGCCTCTTCTGACATGTCCAAAGGATTGGATTCCTTCACCGCTGAACCTTCCAAGCTCTTCCCCGTCCAGCCACTTCTAACATTCTGATTTTCAGGCGAGGTCGGTGAATTTCCTGCAAAAGTCATGGTCTGAGATGTATTATCCTTCCCAGAGTGTGCACTACTCCAACTGTCCTTATTACTAGTTTGGGAACTGAAAGAGCTTTGCGTCAAATTTCCAACAACTGGTGCCCCATAGTCCCCACAAGGTTTTGAATTCCAATTCCCTGAGCTGGTCTGTTGGTTTTCTGGTCTTTGCGTTTGACTCAAATTAGATGCTCCAGGTCTAGCATCATCTGACTTTTCAGGGAACTTCTCCGGAGTGGTAGAAATGGAAGAAGTTTCACCCGTAGGTTTTATGATTGAATCTTTGCCCTCTGGCTGCAGTTTGTTCTTATTTGCAAAGTAGTCAGGTGGGAACGGAACGAATGGGACAAACTTAGGATTGCTTGCCTGCTCCATAGACACACGTGTTTTGTACATCGGAGAAGTTAAAGACTGATCCTTCTTCCTGCTAACTACAAACCGGTTTTCTCCTTTACGCATTGGCATAACCTTCGGGAAATTCTCATCTGCAATAGCACTTGATAGGTCTGTGACATCATGCAGCGCTGCTACCCTCTTAAACCATCTTTCAGACTTTTCAGCATGTTCTTTTTCGTTATCATTGTTCTCAGCTTGAGCTGCTGTTTTTCCACAGAACTGAGAACTCTCTCCAAGTTTTCCAGACTCACCACTCACAGAAACAGGATCTGTTTGCTCAATGACCTTTGAAGACACAGATTTGCAGCCTTCTGTTTCACTATCCACAATATTTGCAATTTGAGGTTTTTTGGCAAACATATCAGCAGGTAATGGCACGAATGGAACATAACTTGAATTGGTCGCCCTGGGGTGTGCATACTGTGAAGAATCTGACCTAGAAAGTGGAGTGGAGTTCTCTGTTCTAGCATTTTGTCCAGCTGTGATGCTTTTATTATCTGTTCTGGACATGGTGGACGTGCGACCAAGTATCCGGTCCAAACTCTGGCTGATTGAAGTATCAAGGTTCTCATTTGCACCCCCAGTTTGAGAATTACTACGTTCCCTAGTCCCATCATTATTTAAGTTCCTTTGATATTGAGAATTAGCCATCCTTCTCTCCAAGGGTGTCTTCCTTGTGCTTACAACAAATCTGTTTTCTCCTTTCCTCAATGGCATGATCTCAGGAAAATCTGCATCAGCCGCCACACTGCTCAAATCAGAGGCTTTATCCATTTGAGAAACCGTACTCAACCACCTCTGTGCCTTCTCTTCATTCTCAGCCAACCTGCTATCAACATTAGCCTTATTTGTGTAGTTCTCATTAGAATATCCCAGCTCTGGTCTGGATTTGAAATTATCGAATGAAGCCTCACCAGGTCGTTTGCAATCACATCTTAAGCAGACCAAGTTCCTTCCATAGTTAAAGAAATCACATCTGTGAAAAATATGATTCAGAATTCATCATTCTTAAGATAGATCAATACCTAAAGGTGTGCTAAGGAAGTAATGCTCACTGAGGACACTCCCACTCGCCTCCTGTCAGCTGTCTCTTCGGTCTAGACTCCTCACATTCAAGGCATTTAACATTTCTTGCAAAATTCATGAAACTGCACCTGCTCCATATCATAAAGATGCAAAATATAAAAGTTATGCCACATGAAAATAACGGAGTGCTGCTTGTCAAACACTGCTTTACAGTTAGTAAATCTAAGATCCCCCAACCACTAATTAGAAAGAAAAGGAAAAAGGAAAAAGTGAATCTATGATTAGATAGGTGTGCACATGCCACTCGTACACTGAATTTCTTAGTCCATGCAAAGATTGCTAATACAACTCAGCCCAATTATGTCTTGTTCAATATTTTTGGATCTGCAAATAATGTTTCGTTATTGTACAAAACGAAGGGTCATACTTTTTGTTAAACCATAAGTAATCACATCTTTTTCTACACTTTCATTTAAAGTTAATTTTGGGCTTCCTCTACCTCTTCGATTACTAACAGTAACTATCATATCACTCCTTACCTCCGATGCTGTAATATGCCATCTATAAATATGTCCAAGCCACCTAAATTGTTTCCCCTTTAATTTATTCCTATGTGTTACCTCAGATTTTTCACGGATATTCTCATTTTTAATTCTCTAATCTCTACCATTTCTACTTTGACCACACATCTATATTAACATTCTCATTTCTGCCGGACTAAATTTTTGAACATGTTGCTTCTTAATTGTCCAACACTTAAAACGTAGCTTGTCTTATTGTTGGTCAGACCCAAATATGAACATGAATCCAAAGAAAGGTTGATAAAACAATAGAATAAAAAAAAAATTTAAAAAGAGCAAATTCACCAATATAATAAATAATTCCCCACAAAAATAGAATTGGGGCCCAGCTGATATTAACGACATTCTGCTAACAAAGGAAAAGCACCGATCAGATGAGAAACATACTTTGGACATATCCAGTCACCTCTCTTCATTTCAATATTTTGTCCTAGAGGTCTTGATGTTTGTCCATATCCACCTGGTAATCGATATTGTTCTGGAGCAGGCAGGTGCGACGCTGAAACTCTTACTTCAGCCAATTCTCTCAATAGATTCCTAACAGATAGTTCTACAAGCTCTCTACTGTATAAATTGTTCCTTCCTGGGCATGCACTAGGATTGCTTGCATAGCTCAATAAATACTTCATAAGATCAATTGTACATGCTTTATCACGTTCCACAACCTAAAATTCAATACACATTTGGGGTTAGTAATGAAAAAGAGAAAAAAATGAACAGATGAGAACAAAATGACATTCTGGAGGTAAACTACCAACAAAAACAATTTGCAAAATAAAATTTCCCTCCAATCATGAAGTTCAACTGCCACAGCAAAATTTTAATTTCTCGAAAATTTTGTTTAACTTGAAAAACATGGATTGCCACACTCTGAAACCCAGCCTACCAAATACCATCACCTCTCGAAAACTAAGGAACATATGCACAACAAATCAAGGATGTGCCTAGCTTATCTTTGTCTATTTTAAGTTTGATTTTAGCCCAACATTCTACTTCACATTTCACTTGCCTATATTCTATAACAAAATGAAATTATGTAGAATTTTACAAAATCCAACAAATCCCAAAGTAAAACAATAACAAAACTTCAAAATAAGCCTAGATATATTAAGGTTCATTTTAAGGGGAAAGGCAAGAATTATTGGTGTTGTGGGTTTATCTTAGAGGTATTTATTTTTTGTAAATATGTTAATTTTAGAGTTCAATCACTTATGCTAGATTATGTTTTGTAATTGGCTAACTTCATGGAATCCATTGTAAAATCTCAACCATTTACATGGTCATAATGCTATCCAGTTCAAATTTCAAAAGCAACATTGAAGGGAGGAAATCAAGCATCAAAGTTACATCATTCAACCTCCGTATGCACTTTCATACTTAAGAGCAAGGAAATAACCTAGACACCTAAGATAAACCCTTAGTTATTTTAAATTAGGATGATTACGATGAAAATGGAATTGGAAGCAATCCGATTATGACTCCTAGGTGATTTTCGAATAAAGTTTTATGTTTTGAAAACATAGTTTAAATCACAATTGGACCCCTCTTTGAGCAATACCCTTTAGTGCACAAGAGAACAAATTTTTACATGATTTTAGGCTTAAAAAACCTGTAAAGACCGTCCTATGCTAGCTAGCCTTCGTTAGAGCGGTCTCTTGATGACTAAAGATAGAAAGGGAAAAGGAAACTGGGTATCAGCATAGGGCTCGCTCTATGAGCTCACTCGAATGGTCTCCATGGTCGCTCGAACAATTCTGCTCCTTTTCACTCCAGTGTCAACCGCCCTATGATCGCTCTCCCACCGATTGAGCAGTCGTTTAAGAATATGAATTTTATTATTTACTAAGACTACTCTTATTCTAAACTCAAATAGGAAGAGTCTTTCCCATACATAGGTCAAACCTTTAGAGTAAATTTTGAAGAGAGAAATATATCTTTCAACCTTCAAAGCTTATGTCACAACCTAAATCCTTAAAATCCAAAGACTAACACTAATGATTCTTTTCATCCTCACAACTTGGAGTAGAAGAGCTTGTTGATAAACAAACTCATTGGTTTGTGCATACCGAAGATTGTTGGCATGCCTATAATCGCTCAAAGCTTAGACGAACTATGCGGCAAGGAGATCTCACATCAAAGAGGGAGTTTCAGTGGAGCGACATAGCAAGGAAAGGAACATCTAACTATGAGTATTGGTTAAGGTATAAGACTTGAATACTTGTATGTTGATTTGGCGCGTAATGGATTAGGTTTTGATGAACCCTGAGTGATTCCCCGCAGTTTTTTCTAAGGAAGATTTTGCACATCAACAAATTGCTAGTTTCTCTTACTGTTTATTGAACACACTTGCATTTGTTAGCACACACGAGCACTATGTGTTGGATATTTTGATTGTTATATTTCATATCATCCATAATTGTACAATTGGATTTGTGGGTCTATTGGGATCGCCGTAAGATTAACTTTAGTGAATTAATTGCAAATTAATTAAAATCAATCACCATGGTTCAAAGGGTTGGTGTTTGAAAAGAGGTCTCAAATTCATTACTTTATATTTGTTATAAGAGGTAACTGTGATAGATATAGGTTTTAATTAGTAATTGAATTTGGGCTAAAATTGCAAAACCTATTCACCCCCTCCCCTCTAGGTTAAGTGTTTTGCTCTCCACGTGTATAATCATGAGGAAAGATCTATATCAGATTCTCCCTCCCAAAACAACAATTGATATTAAAGCGTGGTTACCCTGAGGGCATAAGACAATAAGTAGGTATATCTTGTTTTTGCTTGTTTGCCTAGTTTACTTCTTAAGAGATCCATTATTATCATAAGTTAGTCTTAGAAGGAAAGAGGATCAATTACACGACCACCTCTCTTTGATGGTTCTAACTTTGCATATTGGAAAGCTCGCATGAGATCATTTTTAAAATCAATTGATGAGAGAATATGGTTAAGTGTGCAAGAGGGTTAGAGCGCTTTCACCGCCACCCCAAAAGTTGAAGGTGGTGAAGTGGTGGTTGAAATAAAATCCTCGACGACTTGATCGACGACTGAGACTAAATTAGCAGGGTAGAACTCAAAAGGTTTGAATACAATATTTAATGTCGTGACACCAAACGAATTCTGACGGATCACTAATTGCAAAAATTCACAGGAGGCATTGGATATTCTTGTGGTTTCATATGAAGGAACTATAGTGGTCAAGATGTCCCATCTCCAAACGTACACATAATTTGAGATGTTGAGAATGCAAGAGAAAGAAACTTTTGGTGATTTATATGCCAAGTTATGTGATATTGTTAACTCATCCTTTGCCTTAGGTACCAAAATCGACGATTTCAGAATTAAGTGAAAAATCTTGAAATCTCTACTAGAAAGATTTCATGCCAAGGTGACCTCGCTCGAGACAAGTGTCAATATGTCCACGGTGTTGGTCAAGGATCTAGTGGGGTCTATTTTGACTTTTGGGATGAACCTTCTTTCACCTAAAAAAGAGAAGGGTGTTGCATTAAATTCGAAAATCGAAGGACGAAAATCCAAGTCACCCGGGTTAGGAGAATAGGACATAGCCTATCTTGCTTGAAAATTCAACAAATATTTCAAGGCTAGTGATGTTAAGTCCTCAACGTCAAAAGGAAATCTAAGTAGACCTAGATCTCCTAGAAAAGGGAAAGAAAGTGAGTCCAGAGCGAGTGTTGATTTTTCTTCGTCAAGTGATAAAGAAAACTTCACAGTCTTTGTAGGTTCAAACTCCTCCCCCCACTAAAAACTTCCATAAATGAAGATAAGAAAGTTGAGTCTAGTCCCACTATGAACGTAGATGACTAGTTGTAGAACTCCTACTAGTGAGTTCTAGACCAAGAGTGTTGAAGACCAAGATGCTTATAATGAATTATACAAGGAGTCTAAAATAAGGTGAGAAGTTGCTTTCATTGAGCAGGAGGCTCAAAACGAGTGAAGATGAAAAGAAAGAACTTCATGTGGACTTATTTAAGTCCAAGGCTCAAATTATTGAGGTTGATGAAGAGAAGTCCCTCCACAACAAGGTGAGCTTCCTTGAGAGAGGGCTTTTAGAGTATAAGAAGGGTCTTTTTGAGTTTAAGATTGTCAAACTTGATAGAGATATTCACGAGTCACAAGAGCTCTCAAAAAGACTTTCACAAAGCACCGAAAAGCTTTGATAAAATGTTGGCTATTAGGGAAAATTGTTGTGGACAAAAGTAGATTAGGTTTCACTAATGAACACAACACTTCCACTTCTTCCAAGACCGTATTTGTAAAAGGTGATCCCAACCCTACACCTCTACGAGTAAACACAAATCCTAAAAAAACTAATCCTGGTAAGGGTAAGCAAGAAAAAAAGCCGGTGCAAAAAAAAACCCAAACCAAGTCATGTGTTTAACTTATGGTGGGCATGATCACAATAGTACACATTTAGAAAGACTTTGTCAAATAAAAATATAGGCCATTTAGGGGCTGTGAACAGTACCTATGAATAGTAATTGAACTGTGAACAGTAACATGAATAATAACCTTGACTAGGAATCACTTCTATGATTTCTTAGGCATCACACCTAGGTGTTACAATTGCATTACACAACTCAAGAAGCATATAATTGCTAAAATTTCTGAAATATTTCACTATATTTTATTAAAAGTAACAATAACTATACATAGAGTTCTAAGTACTCGTAATCCCAAAAGATTAGAATTTCAAAGTCTTTAGGATTCCAAAAAACCTAGGTCCCTAAAACTTAGAAAACTAAAATTAACTAGAACTAAAACTTTAAATTCTAGAATATTCAACACTAGAATTTGACCCAAAAATATGACTCATTCCAAAAATTCTAGACAAAAATACCCCCACTCTTAAAAAAACAATATAAAACACTAATACTATCAAACTAACTCAAAGCAACTAAAAATAAGACTCCATTTATGCTTATACAAGATCCCAAGTAGGTTTTGCATCATCTAACATATGTCAAATTAAAGCTTGAGCCTTGTAGGCGTATCATCATCATGCCCTTGATATAAAATAAGATCCTCAATATTGAAGACTTATTCCCATATCTTCCGACAATTTCAAAACATAAGCATCAGAGGTATTTTCTTTATAATCTTATAATAGAAAACACTTTTTGAATGAAGCTTCTTGTATGCACCCTTAGGATACCTTTCAGGCCTATTACAAACCATAACCATGTCTACTTCCTTGAATTCAGCAAATTTTTTCCTCTAATTAGTATGTAATTTGTAGCTATCATTGCTTGTTGCAATTCTTCATCGCACAGCATCATGTATCTCACGCATGTGTTTGGCAAAAACAACAGCTACAACACTAGGACGAGCCTCTATGGGTAAAGGGACCAAATCTATTGGTTTCCTAGGAAGTAAACCTATCACATTCTCAAAGGGGTTGCGACTTGTAGATCGATTAACGGAGTTGTTATAAGCAAATTCAGTCATAGGAAGTACTTGGTCCTAATTTGCAACATGATCACCAACAAGGCAGCGAAGGAGATCGCCCAAACTTCGATTAACAACCTCTGCTTGCCCATCGGTTTGAAGATGAAAATAGAAGAAAAACTTCAATCTTGTATGCAGCAATTTCCATAAAGTTCTCCAAGGGTAACGCATCAATTTCACACCACAGTCCAAGACAAT